ACGCCAGCTGCTACTTAGGAATGCTAGACAAGGTTGATATGACTCGAGACGTACTTTATGGCACTCAAGAACAGTAACGTATATGTGTTTCTATGTATGTATGTATGTATGTATATGTTGTTGTTGTACCATTGTCTTTGAATAAGCTTCTTTGGTTATCTTTTTTGATTGGTGTGACTGAGTTAAAGCACAAAAAAATTCATAAAAACACAATACGTACTTAGGATATTGACTATTAGAACTTGAAAATTTCCATTTGACCATTGTTTTGATTTCATGTGTGCTTCTGGATCTTCATTGCTCTGGACAGTGGATTTGGTTTTCAACCAACTTTATTTTATTTTGTAAAGGTGGTATAATTAGCATATTAATATCAACTAAAGCTATTGAGAAACAAATACAATTATAAAAGCAGTTTTGATTAAATGATTTTATCATAAGAATTAAGTGCTGGAACCAGAGTGTTAGGTTCTTATTGATTCCTCTATGGCTTTATCCACAATGGACATGCAATTATCATGTCTCCAATTGAAAAAGGAAAAACAGAAACAGAAGTCTCATTTCCTGTTATTGGTTCTACTGGAGTTTTAGACTTATGACAAACATAATGGTAAGAAAAATGCAATGAAGAAAATTCCAAAACTTTGTCTTGGATTATATCACATCTGGTAGCATAGTGGTTACTAATTGGGCTGCTAATCTCAAGGTCAGCAGTTTGAAACGACCAGACGTTCCGTGGGATAAAGAAGAGGCATTTTGCTCCCATAAAGATTTACAGACTCAGAAACCCTGTACAGGGTCACTGTGAGTCGGAACCGACTCCATGGTACTTAAAAACAACAACAATAACAGATTATGAAGGTTAAACCAACTTAAATTAAGGCATGGTGATGTTGGTTATGTGGTGCGGAGTCGGTTCTGACTCATAGCAACCCTGTATAGGGTTTCTAAGGCTATAAATCTTTACAGGAACAGAAAGCCTCAACTATGTCCCATGGAATGGCTGATAGTTTTGATCTGATGACCTAGAGGTTACCAGCCCAACTCATAACCACTATACTACCAGAACCCCTTCAAATTGAGGCATAGCAACAACCAAAAAGAGGTCTAAATAAATGTATATATCTAAGTGTTCTGGTGTGGCGCTGTGTGTGTTAGTGTTCTAGAATACATGGTTACTTGAACTGCAATGTTGGCAGTTCAAGTTCAACAGACACTTCTTAGAAACCCTATACAGGGTTGCTATGGGTCAGAACCTACTAGATTCTTAATAATAACACTTACCAATAACAACAATCTAGAAAAGTAGATTCAATAAATTCTCAAAATCCATAGACTCAAAGGTACTTTTCATAATCCATTCAAGTCAAAGAAAACCAGTCAACAATTTTGTAATAATGTTTCTATTATTTCCTGTATGAACTTCATTTGTTGTTGTCAATTCCAACTCAAAGCGACATATATAGATGATGAAAACTCCAGAAAAGTCTCACTTTAAATAATTCACTTTCACATGAATGTCCCCTCTCTTCATAAAGAGTCAACCTTCTTTAATTGCATAGAGAATGTCTAAAGAATCATTTCCCAAATGATTAGTTTGAACTTAAAAATCAAAAGAGATTTCTTATATTTTAAAAACATTGTGCAATCTTGTATAAGCATTATTGTTGTTGTTAGGTGCCATTGAGT